AAGCCCCAAGTGTGAGAAGTACCAGTGTTAGAAACAATACTTAAAAATAACAAATGTCTTACATAAGCCAAAAATGACGCTGTTTTAACACTGGTTGGAGATAAAGTCACGAACGCTAAACCTGGTGGGAAGTAAAGGGTTCTGAGCTGTTAAGGAAGCACAGGGCACACCGCACGGCCGACCTGAGCAGCACCCGTTGCAGGCGGAGGAAACTCAGGAGCAGCAGAGAGCACTGACCAAGACCCAGGGCCTGGCTTCCGGCCTCAGCAGCCCCTGGGAACCAGGGGCTGGGGAAGTCATTGGGCTCTAGTTTCCCATTCTGTTACCGAACAGGTTTACCTACACCGGGAGGGGGGGGGGGGGGGGCGTTATTCCAAAGGAAGTGCAACACCAAATGTCTTACATGTACCAAGTCTTACCAGACACAAACACAGACTAATAATCAGACTACAGGAATTCCTTTTCAAATGTATATCATAGTTAACCCTTGAAGAATATGAGTCCACTTAGACTCGAATTTTTTCAACTAATACTGTACAGTTTTCTATCTGCAGTGGGGAGTCAGCAGATGCAGAGGGATGACCGTATGCACTGATCCATGCCATTTTATATAGGGATTTGAGCATCCTCGGAGCTTAGTATCCACAGGGTTCTGGAATCAACCCCCTTTCCCCCACAGATACCAAAAACAACTTAAGTTTCAGGGGAGTCAATGTTATAATGGATTTTTTACTTTAGGGGGGACTGACTCCCACATTGATCAAGGGTCAACTGTAGATGCTATTAAGATGAGTGAAAAGGGAACTCACAGTAGCTGTCGGTCATGCATTTCTTGTAAACAAAAGGACACTAAAGATATGACCACCACAGAGCCAACAGGAAAACAAAATTCACTGATACTAAAAAAGGGTTCTCACACCACACTGGTAGCACCCCTGTCCATTTGTTCAAGGTGAGGGTCAGCCTGTAAAACGCTCAGTGGCAGGAGCCCTCTACCATACCAAGTGTGGAGCAGCATGTGAGCTCTGGAGCTTTCTAGAACAGTGGGGGCAAAGGCAGGCATCATGGCAGGGTCCCGGGGAGAAGGCGCTGTGAGACCAGTGAAGGTTATGTAAAACAGGGTAAGTTCCTGAGTCCTGCCACTCACTCGGGGCAAGATTTTATACAAATGCAAACCTCAAGTTTTCTCATCTGCACATTAAGTAAATATCACAGACTGTTGTGGAGATTAAATCGATCAAAAGAGCAGCAGAGTGCCTGGGCTCAAGTAAACGCTCAGTGTTAGTTTACCTCCTTAACAACAGCTAGCTGATTTGAGGTTTTAAATGACCTACCAGCTTTTAATCTTAATTTTTAGATTTTTTCAACATTTTAGGAATCTGATTAGTATGGTTGGAAAGTATACTCTCTGCAGAAAATTGCTCATACATATAAGACTTGCCAAGCAATTTTAGGAATTTAATAGGATCTCTTAAACTCAAAGAAACTACCTAGGGATCTATGTCTAGATTAAAAATGTCTAGAAAGCTAATAATTTAGTTAAAACCTGAATTTGGCCCAGCCACAGTGGCTCGATGGTTGAGTGGCAACCTATGAACCTGGAGGTCATGGCTCATCCCATGTCAGAGCACATGCCTGGGTTATGGGCTCCATCCCCAAGTGTAGGATAAGCAGGAGGCAGTCGATCAATGATTCTCTCTCATCACTGATGTTTTTATCTGTCTTTCCCTCTCACTCACTCTCTGAAATCAATAAAAAATATATATTTTTTTAAATTTTAAAACCTGAATTTGTACATCAAATATCTATGTTATAACAGATAATGCTTAATAAATGCTTATATATGGTATTTAATTATTTCAAATAGACAGTAACATTATACCCATTTTCCAAGTGAGAAAACTAAGGGTTAGAGAGGTTGATTAGTATGTCCTATGTCATATAAGAACATGTCTAAAGGAAAAAAAAATATGTTCTCCAAAAGATAATGCACCAAAAGCTAGTAAGTTAAAAAAAAAAATGACTGAAATAAAACAGCTCAACCCACTACCTTTTTTATATTATATATGTTAGCCACTCAACAGAGATCGTAAGCACACACAAATATATGACTAAAAAATAAAGAAGCCCAATGACTAAACCCCCTGGCCAGCCTGATGCCTGAGGAAGAGGACAGGTGCAGCCAATAGAACCAGCCTGCAGAGCCCGTCCTGACAGTACACATGAAACCACATCCCTTCAAATGGCCGCGCCATTACTGCTTGGGAGTCTCTTGTGCCATTCACACCACCTTACACTGGATCATCTCTGCCCAGGCACCAAGGATCTGAGCAATGTTTTCTTTGCCATCTCATCTCCCTCACTACCCCCGAACTACCAGCAAACACAGTACTTTTTGCTAAAAAACATCCAAGCTAACAGATTCTCAATAACAAGTAAAAGTGTTTCATTTCCAGTACAAATACTTTAAAAATGGTCAATAAGTTAGAAATTTATAAGATTAAATCTTATGAGTCGATAATCTACTAATGTAGAAACACAGATCACATATACCTGAATACGCAAAGCAAGTTAAATTAGGATGCAAGGAATGCCAGGGCATAAAGCTAAAATAACAAAAATGGTCTATTAGCGAAGACATCTGGTGTATCATGGCAAGAAACGTTAATGATATTGTCTGCAACCCTGTAATCAATTTTCCTCCAGCAGCTCTCTCATTACATGTATTAGATCTGGGCGCCTGCAGAATTTATGAGAGCCCCACACGAGGGGGGGTGGGAGGGAGTTTTGCCAACTGGATCCGATTCAGATCCAGCTCAAATGACTTTGGCAGCTTGAAGCATTGTTACAGAACAATCAATACAGTCAGCTTTCTGCAGCAGCGTCTGGACTGAAAGATTTATCATCTTATTACAGAATCTTCTCAAGCCTTCACGTGATGGTGCCTGAGTGCACCACCCATCATAAACTTATTTAAATACTCAGTGACCACAACTCTTTCACTGCTAAAAATTAAATAGTGGCCATCACTAATGCTCACAGAACAAGTTTACTGTTATGGGAAAAAATTTCAGTCTATTTAGCAAATCCTGGTTGGCGAGTACCGTGGAAATGAAACAGTCTAACAGTGACATCCATGCTGATTGGACAATAAAGAAATAATTACCTGAAAGCTAACAGCACTTCTTAGATACATATGGAAATAAGACACTAAGTGGTAAAGGCTGAAGCTTTTGAAGTAGGTAGTCAAGTCAGGACTCTGCTAATTTGTCCCTTAAAATGTCAGTCTCTCTCTTCAGGGATTAAAATTAAGACTTTTCTCCACTGCACTGGGTTTTATCTCACATTATGAATGGCTGTTATAGCAATAATTCCAAGGCTTCCATGATGTGAACCTTTTTTCTGGTCTAATTCTTGATAAATTACACTGGCGATTACCCAAACATGAAACTGTTGCTGTGACAATTATTCCTGATTTTGGTACAATTATTAATACCCCGTCTCTATTGTCTGGGTCCTCTTCATTTTATGCCTGGATGACAGCCCCAGCCTCCTAATTGGAACTTTCCGTCTCTCCCCACTCCACCCAGCGCTCTGCTTCCCAGTGAAGCTTCTTAAGCAGTGACATGCACATTGGCTTGCCGGAAATAAAAAAGGCTCTCTTCCGACTATCACATAAAACTGCCTTTTCTGACCTTTCAGATCCTTATGATCCAGCCCTATTTCATATCCCGCCTCTGCCTCCCAAGCCCCACTAACCTGTGCCCTTCACTGCCGTCCGGGGTCTTCTCACAGCTCGCAGCTGCACCGGGCTCACAATCTATGTGCTTAGGGACAAGCTGACATGTGGACCTGGGAGGTCGGCACTCTGCCTGGCCACACGTGACTGGTGTATCAAAAACATAGCCAGTCCTCAAAACCGCCCCCTACCACCACAAACTACCCCCTACCACCACAAACCGCCCCCTACCACCACAAACCGCCCCCTACCACCACAAACCGCCCCCTACCACCACAAACCACCCCCTACCACCACAAACCTGCCCGGTCCTATAGCCCTTTGGAGCACTCTCTTCTCTTACCAGACAGGACCGTTCTCACTGCAAAGGAGCAATGCATTCCCAGTCCCAAGATCCTGACTGCATGTGCCCCTGTGATGACTATTCCCTGTGTCATTTTCTGAGTGTGAGTTTGAGCCCCATGGTCAGATTACATGCAAGAGAAAAACAGGTCTTACATTTCTCAATGGTTAGAGCAGTTGATCAGAACAATAACACCTATCTTTCAGAAAGCTTTACCATTTAATCCTCACAAATAAAGGAAAAAGACAGTGTGTACACAGCTTTCAGGAAAGGTTGGACAGAAGACAAAACTAGCCCTCCGAAATCATGCACTGGGTCCTGTGTTCTAAGGAACAACCAGCTAGGGACATGGCGTCCTGCTACACCTCACACCCACGTTACCACCAGGTGACGGAGGACTGAGCGGCGTACAGCTGGGAGTACTCTACCTACGCTCACCCCACGCCTTCAGTGCTTTAGTCTGTATCTGCCCTGCAGAGAAGCCTAGCAACACTCTACAAAGCTGTACCCGAGAGGGCAGCACCCAGCACAGCTTACATCTGTGGGCCACGAGTCCCAATGGTCCCAGGGAAACGCACATTCCAGGCTGGGTCTCACTTACCCCGTTCCCCCATTTCAGTTGCCAACATCCATACTCGCTGCTGACTGCCAGCTCCTGCTCCTTGCAGCAGCCCAGCATGCTCTCTGCTGGTGCCAAAACACCCTACGCTACCAAACCCCACTACCTTCTGGAACTGTCCTAGAGGGGTAAGGCAAGTCCCGTATTTTGCTTCCTCTGTGCATGTACTTGTTACTCCTTTAAAAACACATACAATACAGCACATTTTTAAAGGGGTTCTGGGGAGGGAGGTAATGTTCCTATTTTATACCCTATGGGATATAAAATATTGACAGCTTTAAAAACGGGATTCTCCTTACCCCTACAGGCCCTCTCCCGGCTTCAGAAAGATGCTGTGGCGGCTGTGATGCCACCGGCAGAGAGCATGCTGGGGGCTCGCACAAAGCGGGAGTTGGAGATCTGCAGCAGGCCTGCGAGGTGTGGACCTAAAAAAGAAAAGAGTTTTAAGTTAACGCGCCCAACGTGCCCTCACACCTGGTTACTAGGGGCACTCAGCACACCAGCAAGCATCTGCGCAGTCCGTTAGCAGATGGCGTCTGAAATCTCAGAGAATTTGTTCGGCCACTAAAGTTAACCTTTCTGCATGAATCAAAACATTTCCTTAATTAGCTCAGCGTGAACAAGCATATGACCCTTCCAGCTTTACGCTTTAACCTGGATCCCGTCACAGAGCAGTATGGTGTGTGCCCCCAAAATAACCAAGTTAACATGACACAGAGCCAAAGCACATGACAGTGGCATGCTTTGTTTATAATAAAAATGAACCCCAAGTGGACAAAGTGAGCTTTCAGAAGTGTTTCTAATGAGAGATGCTAGAGTCATAAGACATGTACTTAATAAGGAAATAGTCAAAGCATTAGGGGTTTCAAAGAAAGATCCTAGCATTTTCTCAAAGTCCTCTTTGATCTGAGAAAGTGAAAGGCAAGGTGAAAGATGAAGGCTTAACAGCAGAGGAAAAACACCATTCAGATGAGTTTCCATTTTCTCCAGTGCCTGTAAGGTAAGTACAGTGACCAGGCACAGAGCATAAAGCTCAAGAAAGACATTATTTCTTTTAAGGGCAAAAGCAGTTTGGTATTTTTAAGGAACTAGAAAATTTAAAACCAGCAAATGATTAGAGAGCAACTTCTGAAAGCCAGCACAGTTCTTTTAAGTATCAAAAAAGGTATCTCAGGTAAGTTTGAATATGAGCCCTTTCAAACATTCTAGAGAGCAATAACATTTCAAAAAAAAAAAACACTAACAATTCAATTTCATGAAGTTTTAAATGAATTAAAAACATCATTAAACTCAAATGCTTATATAAGATTTCTGTTCTTAAAGTTGTTTAAAAATTACAGAGAAGCAACTTTTTAATATTAAATCTTTTAAATCTTTTTAGGAGTCCTGTCCCATTAACTCCTTTTGAGAAGCAAAGAATCATTCTCTAACAACTTCCTGTAATTTAAGATTTAATGTCTATGTCTAACAAACAAAACAGAAAAACCCCAAGAAGATAAGCTAACATTGGGCATGTCTCGATCATGGTGGTTTTCTTTTCCTTCTCTACAGATCACCTCCGACAGCCCACGCGGGCCCCGCGCTTTGTTTATGGTCAGTCCGACTCCCACCGTGCGGGTTACAATATGGGATTAAGTTAGTGTTAGTGGTCATAACCTCCTCCACCACACACCTCCCACCTCCCCCTACCAACACTACAGACTCCAAACCAAAGCGTCAACTGTGCACAAGAATGTAAAGTATACTCAATACTTTTTATCATAAGCATCAAATGGAAATATTATAAATTTGTGGTTAATCTCTTGCACTAGAAATTCAATTACTCAGACCACTCAAATCCTTATACATTCAAATCAAGGGTTTCAAACAAAAACACCAAGTAAATAATTTCTAAGCACCCTGGCAATATTTTAAATACACAAAAATTCAGGCAATGATTAAAAGGCATCATTTCAAAGCATATCATTGTTCTTATTTAGGAATCAGAAAACTGACACAATATCTCAGTTTCCCTCATTTTATTTCAGTTCTAATAAGCTTTTTAGACTATTTGAGATGATTCTTAACACAAACATCCACATCCAAATTACAAGTTTCTAGTTGTATGGAACTGAATTTGAATGACAAGACTTTATAAGTATCCTTGCACTGCAGATCTCTGCAAATATCAAATTGTCTTAAACTTCCCTAAGCTTCTTTTAAAAAAATTAGAATACCTTGAGTCTTCCGCATTGAAAAAAAAATTTATATATAGAGAACAGGCTTAGTAAATAACATTTAAGATAAATATTTTATGAAAATAAATGTAATTAAGTAAAACTTTTCCAGTGGTTTCTTAAGAGTCCTAAAATCCATATAAATTAGGACAAAATGAATTACCAACTTCACAGTAACTATGAACCATTAAAACTTTAAATCCCATGTGGTCTATGACTGTCAGTCATGAGTAAAAAGAGATCGATAAGAAGCTGAATAAATGGGGCCAATAAACTGCTCTTAGATTATTTATTCCCAAAGCCTCGTTTTGATTTTCACTTGCGTGAATACCACCCCAGCCATTTATAAGCTGACATTCATATCATGCAAAATGGTTGTGGTGATTCAAAATAACTCTCAACGTGATTGCTCCAGAACTGGGGGAGAAGTTAGCAGCCAAGATCCAATATCACCTCATCTGGCTAAGAGATTCCATCCTACTCTGACTATGTAAGATTACATACAGATAACATCGAATCTACATGTGAAAAAGACACTCAGTACTGGAGCATCTACAGCAGATCTTCTTTTTGTTCATCTCCATGTCATTATAACACTGAGGAGCTGTCTTAGGAACTTGGTGCTTGTTTATATCAACTAGCTGTGGTAGAACTGGTTTGTTACATGTCATTCCCCTTAAATTCACAGAACCTTCCTTCAACCACGTTCAGTGAGGACTGAGTGTGGCTGTTATTGGTGGCTTACTCCAAACAGCACTGAGCAAGTTTACTAATTACAATGCTATGGAAACATCCAAGCAACCTTGGCCTTTATTTTCAACAAAGAAGGAAGAGAAAGCCGCGGCCCTCCCTGAGCATCCTCTAGCACCGTCAGTCACACACACCTCTCCGTGGTGAGAAGTCGGGGTGGGAGGGGGCTGCACGCTGCGCACTCGTTCTGACAGTGAAAACTAAGCCAGAGCCGCCCGCTCCACACCCCGTTATCCCTCTCTAAGTAACACTCATTCCTCACCCAGAAAACTGAAAACATGGATGACAAACTTCACCGTTTTCACCTCCTTGTCCAACGTTACACTCCAGCAACAAAGCTGCGGCTGGGTGGTACTGACCTTGTGGGGGACGAAAAGAAAGAACTCGGAAAAGAAAGACTAGTTCTGCAGGCCTGACTTGAGGGACTAAGAGAAACAAAGGACAGCCGCTGCCTCACAGAGAAATGAACCATAGTAAGGCATTTTTCCTGTCAGCTGGCCTCTGGCATGTTTACATGTATACTGAGCCCTCATTTCTTTGTGGGAACTATTATAGAAAACTCAAAACATTATATAATACCTAAACAATGTTCTGACTTCGGCCACCCTCATGTAAACCTCCTGGAGAAAATAAAAAACTGACTTTTAAAGTATTTTAAGGATAGAATTTTATTATTTAAGCATAGAAAATGTTACACATTACAAGCTTATAGAAAAAATAAAGAAGCAGATCTCTTTGGCTTGAATAATAAACAGAAGGTTAATCTGTAGCTAATGCAAACATTGTATCAAACTATGACTTTTACCCAGTGAAGTCCTTCCACTGAAATGTTACTTCATTCAATAGTCAATAAGTATTTATTGTGGACCTCATGTGGGCTGGGCAATATGCCAAGTGCTCAGTGCACACCAATGAGTAAAACTGGTGTGACGTCTGCCCTCACACAGCTTACATCTAAGCTCACATCAACGTCACGGTCTTTGTCATTCCATGGCCCAGGCCCTGTGCCACTACCCACTGTGTAGGCTTAGCTTTTAACCAAAAAACAATCTACCTGCAAGACAGGTGCTTTCTATCCCAAATTCAGAAGTAAATAAAATTAGGTTAAGAGGATTAAGTGCCTTGCCAAAGGTCATGAAAGAGAGCAACTGATGGAACAAACTGATGTCAAGGTCAAGCTGTCGACCCATGCACTTGTTCCATCCCTAATCTCAGTCCCAGAAAAGCATCTCAAATTCTGCAGTAGCCACGTTCAAATTAATGTGGACTTCCTGCCCCACCACCAGAGCAGTTTTAATAAAAGAATCGCCTAATGTTAAAATGGTACATAACGATAACTCATTGTGTGTACACATGTATGTACGCACAAAGAGTGCGTGTAAATGTGTCTCTCTCACCTACCAGTATTATCTATGTAAAGATCTCTAACGAAAAATGAGAGGATATAATTACTTATCCTCAATAAGTTTCCGTTTTAAAGAAGGAATAGCTGGTTCTTTTTTCTTTTTACGGACGCTTCACGGATGTGTGTGTCGTCCTTGCACAGGGGCCACGCTAATCTGCTCTGTATTGTTCCCATTTCATTGTGTGTGCTGCTGAAGTGAACACGAATAGCAGGTTCTTACTTTTATTCCACTTCTGAGAAATTCAACTTGGGGTATAGAGGCCATTTTAATAGTAAATGGAACCTAAGAAGAAGCTACTTTTCTGCAGTTTTGATTTGTTGTGATCAGCTCTTGGGGTGTAACCCTATCAAACCAGGAATCGAAAAGAAATTCCAAATGCCCTCTCCCTGCTCCTCACATTTGGCAACGAAACCAAGAGGGAAACTGAAATCTGGAATAACTTGGTCCCCACATTCACAGCAGTAACGGGGAGGTGCCCTCTCAGGATGACTAGTGGCAAACTGAGGACTTAGCTGTTCTACACTCACTCTCAGTGCTTAGGGCTTAGACTGTCGGGGACACAAAGGATACAACGCACACTCATCCAGGCAGAGCCATTACAACACACTGAGCCCTAAACAGCAAACTGGATATAACCACAATGTTGCTAATGATATATCCCCAACTCTGAGGAATGTCTAGACCAGGTATAGATTTAATAACATTCCAGTTTTAATTAACCACATAAGAGCCCAAATGAATCAATGTTATTTGCTCAAAATAATACTTGTAATAATTATATATCCTACCTGAACATTCATTTCATATAACAACTGAAGAATAGATAACTATGTAACTATGAAACCAAAATCATAGTTGTTCTATTATATGAATGAAATTCATTAAGAATCCACACAAAATTGCCATGTAGACTATTAAAGGAACAGCTTTGACTACTTACCTGTGAATGAATACTTAGGTATGAACTACTATAGCTAGACCCAGACCAAAAACTCCTGAGTATTATACTGAATGGAAATTACTAGTCTCAATGATCTCCTTATTGAGCATTCTCAGAATCCTAGATTATTTCTAGATAGCAAATTAACTCTATTATGCTAAGGCCTGGATTTCTATAAAAATGGAATTTTGTTTTTTAGCAAAAGCAGTAAGAAATCTTTCTTTGGGGACAAAAAGTGAATGTCTTCCCCCACATCAATCCTATTCGGTGTTCTCCAAAGAGGACTGATATCCAGAAATGTCACCTTTGCCTGCCTTAGAACCTACCCTCACAGAGGGAAGGAACTAGATCTCACATCCTTCAGCCCCATTATGATGCCGCACCGGGCAGAGAACACAAAGCAAGTTTTCAATAAAGGCTTGTCAATCTTTACAACCCAAAGCACTCTTAATTGCGCTCTGGGATATAAAGCTCCTTGGTGACACCGACTCATTCAAAAACAACGTTCTCAAAGAAACCAAGTCCCACGGTGACCAGCAAAGCTCTGGAGTGCAGCAGGAGAAAGGGTTGAGGGTGGCACGGTAGGCTCTGGCAGGGGCAATTCCTGGAGATCAGTTCAAACTGGCCAAGGAGAGGCCTTCACTGGGCGAACTCTGGCTCTGCTGGAAGCAGCATCGGGAGAGCTCGGGGAGGCGTGCACTCTCCCCCTCAGCTCTGCTCCGTCCAATCCTCTACTCTCCCTGGGTCCTGCCCCCTCACATCAGCCTCCGATGCCCTGCTTATGCCTGCCCAGCCCTCTCTCATTGAGGCAATTCTTGACTCATCCCGTTAGCTTTGCCCTCCCTGCCAGCTACTCAGTCTCTCAGTTCATCTTTTCAAGCCAGCCCTCAAAGACCACAGATGCCATTCCACATCACTGTTCTCTTAAACAGCTAAAGATTTTGCCAACTGATTTAACATTTAGTTCAGAAACCTAAGGTGTAAAGCTGCCTTATCTGATGATCCCTCTTTCTTCCTGCTTATTCTAAGCATACACTATCCATATTCAACTTGACCTCTCCTGCTCTCATGCCTCTGCCTTTCACATATTCCAGATACTTTTGCCACTGTAGTCAATAAACCCAGGTCTCCCCATCTGTAAATAAGCCCATCTAGAACACTTCCTAAGAGAATAAAAGCTTCCTAATAGAATACACAATTCCCTTCCCTTGAAAATGCTACTGCCAAAACCCTCAGTTCTGTTAGGAACTCAATTTTTTGTAACATAGCTTTCACCTACCCCTGTGAAAGGGCAGGTTCTAAATATACCTAGCGCTGTAGGACAGAGAGGCCTTATGGATGCGTTTTGATGGTTAAGTGTTAATAAAATGGAAGCCACTGATCCCATCCCCATATAACCTGTCACCCCAATAGGGACATGTCTGAGTGAAAAGGGGCACTGTTTGATAGTTCACCAGGACAACAGATGTAAACCTGGTCAACAGAAGCAGCTATGTTTCGTATCATGGACTCAGAATCTGTAGGAAGACAATCAGGGCATAAAATCCAAAGACCCTTCTTACCCAGGATCCTCAGTTCAATACACTGCATCGTGCTAGTGACAGGTGGTACCTGTCTAAGTCCACTTCTCAACCCATTAGCCTCTGACATGTTTAACACTGTGCTCTTAGCTAAGAGCATGCGCCTAATTCTTTTTAGAGTACCCAAACATACCTACATTCACAAACTCGCAGTGGTAAAAGGATTAATTCTAACCAGTGGTGTAAACAAAGAAACACATTTTAGTTACACCCGCAAACAAAGAGAGATAAAATAACCAACAATATTCCAAAGCTATTGGCTTTTGTTTCCATCGCTCCACTTGTCACGCATGGTATTTCCTGTGGGCAAAATCAACTCCAATTTCTTTTGTTTAAAATCTTGCAGAGGAAAAATAAAGCATATTTCCTTCTGTTCATCCTTTCCCCTTATAGCTTGGGTAAGCCGAAGAAGAAAAAAACAACCTATCATTATTCTCCTGTATTGGGTTACCTTTTTATAAATAGTACTGAAAAGGGAAAGAAGAAAGCAGATATCCAGACAATAACTACATTTCTTTCAGTAGTAAATATTTCAATTTTACTGTTATTTTTACATAACTATGATGTGTGCTGAATACAGAACTAAATAACAAACAAAAAACAAAAAAACCATAAGGCATAGCAGTGTGTGATTTAGAAAAAGGTACCTAAACATACTGCACCCTACCCTCTTCCCACATTGCTTGTGCACACAGCGTTAATGTGTTGTACTAGACCAATGCTGACAGCAGAAGCTTCAGCTTTTATTGCTGTTAATACCCTGAGCAATTACTATAACTCAGCAGGAACCTCCGCCCTGGACTATCACATTATAATCAGCATTTCATAAGCAACGCTGTTCAAACACGAAGGCACCGGCTAACGTGCACACACTGTTCAAAGGGGCTTCGGTTCTAATAGGTAAGAGAAAAACCTCTGCAGTTTCATTTCACAGCTGCACCTTTTCCGTGGCGCACTGCTATTGCGCTGGGTGAACATCACACACAGACAGTGGCCAGGAAAAGGGCAGCAGCCACAGCCACTAGCAGACAAAACTTCAGGAAGCAAGGCCTCCACCCAGATTCCAATGCCAGTGTAGCTTCTGTAAAAAACATATGGAAGGAAACATGTAACAAATAACAAAGACTCTAAAATGATAAAACTTTGCGTTGACATAAAATCTGAATAAAAAACATTTGATTTCTGCAAGATTAAACTGCAAAGCCATCTTGCAAAACAAGTAAGGAAGTTGAAAGCAGTTTACCAAGTATAATCCTCAGAAGTAAATAGCACATTTGACTTTCTTTTGTAACAATAAGCATGTACTGCACATGCAGTAATTTTTTAATAAAGAAAAATAAATGGCATGCACTTGTTAACTAGAGTGGAATATACTAACTAGATATTTGAGGCCATTAGAAACAAAGAAGATGCAGAGTTAAAGATCTCTTCAGACTACTGCATTACTTTTCCTTAGACTGAAATATCACATACAATGAATTGTCAAACGTTTCAAAGGGTTTCTGAAATAAGGACAGTCACAGACACTGATAAAATCTCTACAAATCAGGATTAGGATTTCTCTACACCTAAAACTAGAAAGTGGTCACAACCCTTCTGGTACAGGGATCCCTTTTTAAGACCTAAATGTTTCAAAAGATACCCAAGTAACAGTACTTCAGTAGTATTTCACTTATCAATTGCTTTTTTTGAGGAAAATACCTAATATACAGTGCATATTATCATTCTTCAGTGCATATTATCATTAAATAAGTAAATTTAAAAACCACAGCAGTATATTAATACATTGAAAAGCAGTTGCACAGGTGTGTGAGGTGCATTTATTTAAGACTGAGAATGTTCACTGGCAGGGCAGACCTTTGCAAAATCTCTACAGATATCCAGGGATCTAAAACCCCTGGTGTGGGGACCACTGGTCAGAAACAGAGATCATAGCAGGCAATATCAATACTCATGGACCTAGGGAAAGTTTTTAATGAGAAAGTACTGAGCCAGACTTCCAGCCCCCACTACTGGGGGACCCCAAAAAAGATTCACTCCATACTCACTAAAATATCCAAGTAAATTAATTATGGTCACCACCAAAACCAGACTCTGGCCAATTTACATTCTTCTTTTCCAACCATCAAATCCCAAATTTATTTTGCTTTAGGATCTTCCCAACGGCTGAGAAGAAACACACTACCTCAGAAACTCAAAGGAATATCGGAAATTTACGTCAAAACACCTATGGAAGGAAGAAACTTTACACACGTTATTTACAATATGAGCTTTGAAAATCTAAGTAGGAAGATAAAGCTGGTGGCTGCCTTATGTGAGTGCTACAGCCACCAGGGAGCGTAAGCACTCAGAAGGTAAACTGGTTATCAAGTCAATACGAGAGACAGGCAATCATGAGACAGCCAAAGGAACTGGAAAAGGAGAAGGTCCAGAGGAGAAGCAGGAGCACGTGAGAAAAATGCTTACCAGTTTGAAGTCTTGAATGCTACAGATGAAATACGGTGTGTTTGGTCTCCGACTCTCGATGTACACACAGTCTTTAAAAGAAAAAGAAAAATTTTAAACAATGGCATTTACCTTTAAGGGAACAAAGACAGGGCTCATAAAGCCACTGTATACATAAATAAATGACAAAGCACATACATTTTAGAGAAAATTTTTTTCTCAAAGGTAACGTTAAATTACTAATAATTTCAAGCTAAAGGGAAACAGCCCTTGGGTTTTTTTTGTTTTGTTTTGTTTTTTTACCCTTTTCTGTTAATTTAAAGAACTTGATAAAGCCTCAATTACTGTTTTCAGGGTCCCTACAGAAGGGGGAGGAGGAAACCCATGGGATTATCCACATTCAGTTGAAGGTACTTGCTCTAATTTACCCACCAAGACAAAACCTGAGTATCTTGCTACCAAGACAAAATCCTGAATAACTTATTCAATAGATGCCTCGTCGTCACAAAGAGAAAGGCTTGACCAAGTCCTAATATTTTATTTTCAATTATTATTTTGTGAGGAAAGAAGTGAAATGTAAAGGCGACTAGCTTGAACATGCCATTATAATGAACTTTTCACTTAAACCAAGAAAGAGAATGAAAAGCAAACACACTTTACTTTCTAATTGTAGAGAGAAGCAAGGCAGCCAATCAGAGATGGAACAAGGTCAACCAAATTGCATTTTCCTCCGAAAGAAGAGCACTTTCTTACATAGCACCTGAACGGGCAGGGGCTGAATAACTATGTTTGGTGCTCTCAACTGTTGCAGTCTACAGGCTGCTTTTTAAACGGCAAGCTGATGAACAACATAAACTGATGAACAAAAACAGATCCAGAGACAGAGAATTATTTGATCAGATCGTCAAACCTCAGAGGGAAGGTAGGGGAGGGTGTGGGTAAGTGCAAGAGATCAACCAAAGGACTGTATGCATTGCATATAAGCCTAACCAATGGACACAGACGGGCGGGGGTGGGGGATGGGAGGGAAGCAATGGGGGGCTAAGGACACATATGTAAACCTTGATCAATAAAGAAAAATAAATAAAATCGCAAGTTGAGATATAGTTTTTATAAAAATCAGTGAACTGATATTAAAGGAAGTGAGGGTTATAAAGAAATATAAAAACTCTTCACATTACAATCCAACATCACTGTAAGTTTAGGATAAGAAGGCCATGTATTATTTACTGGGAAGTAAAAGCATCTATAGGCAATCAAGTTTTCTAGAGAGTGACCGTAATACCCACATTTAAAATGTCCTTAGTTTTATCTTTCCTGTTGACCCCTCATAATGTAGATGTCTCAGAATAACTCAGATCCTTGAGAACTCAAGCAGATTCTTCTACTGCCTCATTTCATACATGTTAAGAGTCAAGAAATAGCAAAGGAGCAACGATTTGGAGCCATTTATCCAGTAGATAGTCCAGTCCCACCATAGTCCAGTCCCACCACAAGTGTTAGCAGACCACTAAAAGAGAGATCACGAAGAAAGTCCTCAATAAAGGACACTTCCTTACAAAAAACCTTCTGAAGACATCAGAATTTTTGTAGTCCAAAGCCATTCCAGAAAGAGGACTCATTCAGGCATCCACAAGTTCCCAATTGGTTTCTCTACTCAGATGTAGACTCAACAACAAAGAATCAATCTGTATGTAAGAATGAACTGTTGACCAAGCCTTTTAGGCCTGTTCCAGAATCCAGGATGCTAAATAACTCTGTTCAACATTCAGACAACATCCATTTAACATGCTTATTGACATAAGAAACAAGAGAACTCTTCCCACATCTCTCTCTTCCTATCTCTAACTTGGTACTTAAGTAAAAACAGAAGAAATCCACCCAGTTGGGGTGACTCAGTGGATTGAGCATCATCCCATGCACCAAGAGGTGACAGGTTCAATTTCTTATCAGGGCACATGCTCTGATTGTGGGCTCAATCTGCAGTGGGGGCATGCAGGAGACAGCCAATCGATGATGGATGTTTCTCTCATCGATGTTTCTCTCTCTCTCTCTCTCTCTCTCTCTCTCTCTCTCTCTCTCTCTCTCTCTCTATCTCTCCTCCTCTTTCTCTAAAAATCAATAAAAACATTAAAAACACACAGAGAAGAAATCCATTGCTATAACTCCAATGTGCACAATTCTGGGACACCCCAGGATCTTATTTCTGTGTTCCAATCCCTACTGTACCAGTATGTCAAATCTCTAGGTAGCAATTATTTACTCGTCCCACTCACCCTGACCACAAATGGCAGTGTATATGCCCTCTTCTTCCTATTTCAGACAGAACAGTCAGACCTACCTACTATTCACTGGCTTCAAAATTAATAGGTCACTTTCTTAACTAATGACTTACCCGTTCTTAAAGCCCACATAACAAAAATTTTCCATATTCTATAGTCTGATCCCATACCACATCACCACATCTCATCTTCCACTAGGCTGCATTCTACCAAAAGAAAAATCAAGACCACTACCTCCATTCATGCCAAACCCTTTTCACTCCTTCATTCTGCCAGCACCTGCAACCTTATAACGAGTTACCGCCAGCAGCAGTGAATTTTCATGGCTCCTCTATAAAGAAACATCTCCTTTTTTTTACATAAAATTAACAATTTATGTTACCTGTTTGTTCAGTTATTTGGCAGTCAGATGGTCTGCACTGTCCACATTACTATGTTTGAGCTTTGAGCTCAAAGAAACTTACTCACTTTAGTGTTCTCTGCAACTACCAAGAACTGGTGTCTGAGAGTCAATATGACAGATGCTTAGACAATGAAAACTATGGGCAACTTTGTTCTTTTTATATAAAGAAAAGCTCTACATACACTTTTCATAATCAATAGAATCATTATTACTATAAGCCCTCTTACTGAGACATAAAGCAGTTATTAATTTGTAGTATGAAAAAACACTTTCCATGAAAAAAAAAAAAAAAAAAGGAGAGAACCTATATTCTTTCATTTCTCACTGCTAAGTTACATTCAGGAAAATGATTACCTGTAAGCACACCGGGATGTAACTTTAGAGATGGGAATAAGGGCCAGCTATGAAGACAGTCCTCACTGAGATGGGAGGGGTCGGGGAGAGGAATAAGAGAAAGAAAGGGAGGAAAACGGTGATGGAAGGAGACTTGACTTGGGGTGGTAAACACAAAACACAATATACAGATGACATCCCTTTGCTTAAACCAGTGGTTCTCAACCTTTCTAATGCCGTGACCGGTTAATACAGCTCCTCATATTGTGGTGACCCCCAATCATAAAACTATTTTCATTGCTCCTTCGTAACTGTAATTTTGCTACTTTTAATAAATTGTAATGTAAATATCTGTTTTCCGATGGTCTTAGGCTCCATAGCGACCCACAGGTTGAGAACCACTCCTGTAGAGCCTAAGACCATCGGGAAACACAGATATTTACATTAAGATTCATTAACAGTAGCAAAATTACAGTTATGAAGGAGCAACAAAAATAATTGGGCCCTAGCCAATTTGGCTCAGTACACAGAACATCCGCCTGCGGACTGAAGGTCCTGGATTTGATTCCAGTCAAGGGCACATGCCCAGGTTGCAGGCTCAATCCCCAGAAGGAGGCACGCAAGGAGGCAACCAACCAATGATGCTTTCTCATCATTAGTGTTTCTCTCTCTCTCACTTCTCTCTGAAATCAATAAAAATATATATTTTTAAATTTTTGGCTTTGCTTCTAAAGCAAAAGAGTGATTTTAAAAATAAATAAATAAGTAAATAAATAAGTTACCATAGCAACCCAAATTGATCCAACGCTATAAATTCACATGGGAGTCCAATGCCCAATGCTAGCAATCTGTACTGTATTAAGTGATCTCTATAACTTTTCTTTATAACCCATAAAAATTAGGGTGATCCAACTAAAAGAGAATATATTCTAAAAAACATTTTGGAATTTAAGTCTCTCACACACAAATCTACTTAATCCTCTTAATGATTTTTCAAAAACAAAATAAGGCCAAATACTTATAAGAAATATTCCCCTTATCTCATTAATCAAGCAGTTATTTAAGAAAACAGCTTTATATAGATGTCTATAGTTAGCCACCAAATAAAGCTTTTTTTTTTTGGAAAGGGAAAGATGAGAACTCAAATTAAGAGCAATGTTAAAATTTCAGTTGGATTATATGCCTAGTAATCGCTTAAAGCCAAAATTATTTTCTAAGAATTTTCATGCAATTTATGAGTGCATGGATTGTCTGAGCGGGTCTCAATTATCCTCAACCTGAAAATCCACCCTGATCAACACAAGCACTGCCGACACCTTTTTTTAAAATATAAATATATATAAAGAGCTTTAAAAAAAATCAGAAAGCTAGCAGTTCTGCTAGAACAGAACAAAGCTGATGCAATGCATTAAGTGCATAAGGCACACTTCAAAATTACCCATATGGAAATGTATATTTATCAGATTGAGCTAACAGCTGCTGTAGGGCAAATACATATACATGTATATATTTTTTAAAATCTTAAAATCAGCAAGCCTGAAGTGGGCTAGAAAAATAAGAGGCTATCACCATCTATGTCACTTATGCCAAAACAACACATGATAACTAATTTCTGTCTTTATAGGGGTGTGTGGAAATGAAACCATGGGTCTAAGTTAAGACTTCTTCTCTAACACCTAGCCTCTGCCTGGGAATGGATCCCACGATTAAATGACCTCAAATCCTGCATCCATGATTTGGACAATGACACTGAACAGGGTGCTTCTGGCTGTTTCACAAAACCTCAACTCAGCTTTGTGTCCAAGAATCCATTGTACCATCTGCAAACAACAGAGCATATGCTCAGCTGAGGAAGGCAGTCAGCCAAAACGTAAAGGCAAATTCTCAAGGCAAAGAAAGCCCTACTTTCTCAACACTCAGCAAATCAGCAGAAATAGAGCAGTGATTTTCAAGCGGGGTGCCACAAGAGGCACAGGTGCCACAAGAGGCACACTGGGGTGCCACAAGAATTTTTAAAACACGTAATAATTGACTATTTAGTCAGGGCACTGACCTCTTTCCACTTAGACTGTCA